ACTTAAGTTTCCCACCGAAAAATTATTTGGCGTCATTTTGTTAAGTAGTGTTTGTCATGAATTTAAAGTTATCGGTGACACATTATTTCATCACTAATAATGTATGCAATTTATAGCAAACTACGACATCAAATTTGTCACTAATTATTCGCTTATAGTGAAAAAATTTACTTTTCGTGCTTAAATATATGAGACACATTCATTTAGTGACGAAACATAAAATTTCGTAGCAATGTTTTGTCCACTAAAGTTTTTCACCAAAAAATTAATTGACGTCATTTGTTAAATAGTGTTCGTCACGAATTTAAAGTTATCATTGAAAAATTATTTTGTCACTAATAATGTATCTAATTCATGACAATATTTTTTGTTTTATAATTTATTAAATTTTGGACACAAAAACAATTCATCTAAAAAAATATATTGTTACAATATCGACGAATTAGAGTTGGTAGTTGAATATTATAAATTTTAGCTATGAAAATTTATGTTTAATTATGAAATTTATTATGTCAATAATAATATAAATAATTGGTGACAAATATTATCAATCTATAATTTAGTTACAACAGACAATTTATCACAAAAATATGTAAGGTGTTAAATAGTGATGACTTAAAATTTGTAGTGAATAATTAAACTATTTTCTACGAAAAAATTCATAGTCAAATACATTTTTTTTGCTACAATTTTCATAATTACAAGTGATGACTTACAAAAAGAATAATACAAGTGCTTCATAAGAAGTAGACAGAGTCCACTCGTTAATTGAAAAGTGAAAATATTAAAACAAATGAATTCGGTCGATTTTGTAAAAACGAAAAAGTTGGGGGAATATATACATTATATGTGTGTGTGTGTGTGTGTGTGTGTGTGTGTGTATATATATATATATATATATATATATATATAAACTCATTTTTATAATGATAAATTTAGTATATATACATTTAAGAACAAAATAATTTTTATATAGAAAATAGTCATTAGTAACGAAATTAGAATTTGTTCAACTACGAAATATATATAACTTTAGAGACAATTGATTTCATCACTGACTGAAATAAAATAATTAGCGACAATATTATTTTGTAGGTAGTAATAACCTTTTTAGTGACAAAACATACTATTAACTACAAAAATATATTTTTTACAACAATAAATTTGTCACAAATGTTTAAGCATTTTGGGACGATTTTTATTTTTGTAGTTAATATAATACTTTTAGCTCTGAAGCACTAAATCGTCTTTGTATACTTTTAGAGACACATGTAGTAACCACTGAGTGACGAATTATTTTTCATCACACAAGATTTTAGTGACAAAATATACTTTATCAATGACGAAATTATTTGCTTCTGATAATCAAATTTGTAGTAGTGAACATAGAAAAGAATCAATTTGTACTCACAATTTTGATAAATAAAATTATTTTTCTTATATTCGTACTTGAGAAAATTTATCGCAAACAATTTGGTGATAACAAAGTTTAATTGAGGAAAGGTGATATGAGGTATTAGGGTGGTGTAATGGTGTTAGGAGAGTGAAAAGACTGAAACATTGTGGGAATTTTAATTTTTCTTGAATTTGAAGTATTTGATAGTCAAGAATAGTGGCATGTTTAGATATCTTTATAAATATTCCATGTTTTATGAAATATTCAAGATTTTGATCTTAGTAACTATCAATATTATTTTTCCTCTAACATGCCAATTCTAGATAGAGATGGCAATGGTGCGGGTGGTGCGGGTGCGGGGTAAACCCCTAAATATAATACACAAAGACTTTGCCCCGTCATGCCCTACATCACCTCGTAGTTGCCTTGCGCCATTGTCATTTCTATTTATTGAGCAAGGGTGAATCTAGCCTTTAACCTAGTGATTCAAGTGAATTCAATTTGACATGGGTGTAGGAGGTGAAAGAAAAAAAAAAGATAATGGAGGAATGAATCACTTGAAAATGGGAGGTGGGAGATGATGTGAAATTTAAGATAAATCAAAATTAAAAGTCAAAAAGTAACAGAAAGAAAAATAAAGTTAAAAAAATAAAAGAAAAATTAAGATAAAAAAGATACATTTTGAATTAAATTAACATGTGTCATACAATGATTGGTTTGTGAACACACTTGCTTCTTAAAACTTGGGACTCATCGAAAAATGACATAATAATATATGTTCAAAATTGTTTAACGGTGTAATAGGACAGTTACAAAGTTAAGTGTCTTTTTACAAATTCGAGACAACATTATTGATGACTTTATGTCTTCTCTCATTATTATATATGTGTATATTTGCCTGTGAACTCATTCTAATCTGAGATCATTGTATAATTTTAAAAAAATATCCACCTTTATAATTAGAAGTAATGAGAAAATGGGGACACTTGATAATTATTTTAGTGTATGAAAAGAATGAGTATATTGTTGTTTATGGATGTCATTCAATTTAGGTAATATATATCAGTTTGTATACCAATTCATACACTATGCATAGAGTTATGAATCTGGGCTGATCCATCTTGTTCGGGTTAATTTATACGGGTTTTAAAATTTGATGGGTCAAATTGGACTAGATTATTTTTTGTGGGCCAAAAAATGGTCACTCCAATCCACAAGTACATGGGATACTGGCTGTGTCGGGATAATCCACTATTTTTAAAAAAAAAAACATTTTATATAATCTTTTAAATCAAATTGTAATTTAAAAATATTATCATAAATTTCGACAAGACAATAAAACATGGTGTTAGTGTTACTGATTGTTAATAAAATTCACAAATAAAATTATATTTATAATATTAATCAAGTGTGAGGCTCCTCTCCATTACGCACACTCTATTTATTTCCCAAGTTATTGAGTAATTACCTTGTAATCTTATATAATATATTTAATTTTTTTTGAAAATTAAACTTCAAAAATAGCTAAAACTAGAAACATAACAAAACTTCTTAACTAACGTTTGCTTATATATATATATATATATATATATATATATATATATATATATATATATATATATTATTGATCGTTAACATTTTTATTTATATAATTGATTATATTCGTATTTGTTAATCTTGATATTTTGAAAGATGGCAAATTTGTATCGAACAGGTAACGCAAACATGTTCCAACGAATTCAAGGGTGCATACGGAATACATGATCGAGCAAAACCAAGTTTAGAAAGGAATTGGTGTTTGAAAAGGGTATCGGCGTACGTTAGAGTTTCGCTTATTTATTTAAGGAAAACTGATAATGTTTTCTTACTTATTTAAGAAAACTTATGTGTACATTTTCCCCAAGGCAGTTTACCTATTTAAGGAAAAATTGTTGGAAGAGTTTACATGATCAAGTAGAGTGCGATGTGGTTTTCTACGTGAAGAACAAATTCGAGTTCGACGAGGTTTTGTTCGATGTCCAAGTAGAAGTCAACAAGGATTTGTAGAAGGCAAATACAAGTTGAATTATATAAGGATTTGTTGAAGTTCTGATCTATAGAGAGCTATTTGCATAAAAAAAATTGTCCACTTACATAGAGAGAAGATCAAGACACCATCAAGAGTTTGAAAGAGTTTTGAGAGTTACTTACGGGTGTTGCCAATTTGTGAGTAAATGTTGTAAGTAATTAAGATTTTTTATTACAATCGAGTGTGTGTAGGATTTGTCTAACAAGTTTGAGAAACTTGACGGACGGTAGAAGACATAAACCTGGGGTTTTTGTTTTGGGTATCTAGAAATTAGAGTTTATAATTTCTTAGCTAGGAATTAGAGTTTATAATTCCTTAGGTTACATAACTTTGTATTCTTTTGTTGAGATTTGAAGTTTAATATAGAGGAGTTAAATCCTACAGAGGTGTAGGTCATGGTTTTTACCCTTAAGAGTTGGGGTTCACGATAAATATTGTGTTATTATTTTATTTGCTTCACAAAATGTAACTACTGCAATCTGCATAGGAACATATAGAATAAACATGTTCCTAAGACGAATTCGGGGGTCAGAATTCCAACAGTATTAAGATAGAAAGGAAGAGGCTAGAGGGGGGAGGGGAGGGTGAGAGAGAGGAGAGAGGAGAGAGGAGAACTAGTAAGAGAGAGAGAGAGGGCATAGCTAAGGTTATACTAAGCTAATAACTATTGGTTGACAAGCAATTTCATAATTGGATATATGAAGCAATTATTCAATGACAAAAGTAAATACTCAATGACACTTGAAAAAACATTGCTTCTGGGTGTCAAATGGGCGGGTTGGGTTGAATTTGGAGATATTAAAATGGATTCAAATGGAATTGGGGTTGGGTTTTGACCCGCCTAAGTTTACCTTGGGCTCAAATGGGCTAAATATCGGATTAGGTCTTGACCCGCACAATTTGATCCGATTAATCTCAATAATTTAACATATTGATATTTAACTTTTATAATCACAATTTGAATTTCAGCTCAAAAATTTTTTTGAAAAAGTAACAAATGGTTAGATAAATCGTAAAAGATGCTAAATACATAATAATTTATACCTTAAATATAGGAATATATCTAAATAAAAAGTTTTAAAACGGATTGAAATTTGAGAATGAATTGGGCTCAATTGTGGATTCTCTTCAAATGGGTTAGGATTGAATGAGTTGAGATTGAACCCAAATCAAATTATCTTGAGTCCAACCCTTAAAATTCTGGGCAGGTTACCTATGTTTGGATTTATTTTTGACACCCCTACTTGTACCATACAATCAACTTTATTATTTTCTCTATTTTTGTTAGATGTTTTTGGTATCCTCCAATACCTATTTTGAAGTTTCTTATGGCTGTCTTGTTATGTTCCAGTGTTTTGCTATTCAATTTATGTGAAGAAATTGGCAGTTGCTGGAAAATAGATGAATCTATAAACTTTTTTTATGGTTGATTTCCCAATATTGTAGTGTCTAGTATTTGTATTGGAGTCCGACTAATGCACATGAATCTATATATTTATATAACCTTCCAATATACTTATATTCAATTGAATTAGATTTCTTGCAACATTAAAAATATAGAATTTAAATGACAAAACAATTACAAACCAAAGTAAGAAAAAGAAAATCAAATGAATAAAGAAGTACAAATTTTGATATCAGGCATTCTAACTCATAATATGAGAACCCTAAGGGTTATATATGTTGAGCTGGAGGACGATCCATGTTGAACATAATAAAATGGAAATTTAATAATATGGAGGTGGTGGTGATGGAGAAGGCGATGATTTCTTGTAGTAGTCGTCTTCTTTAGTCATTGAGGGGACCTTTGGAACATGTCATACCTTTTTGTAGTTATCTTTTGAAAGTGATGGCTTTTTGTAGTAGTCATTTTTTGGCAAAGGCACTGAGGGCACCTTTGGCACATATGAAACCTTTTTGTAGTTATCTTCTGGAACTGATGACTTCTTATAGTAGTCATTTTTTGGCAAAGATGGTACGTTGTATTTTGTTTTAGGCTCTGTGGGAACCTCTGGAACATTTGACGTCTTCTTGTAGTTATCTTCTGGAATTGATGGCTTCTTGAAGTAGTCAAATTTTGGAAAAAATGACTTCTTATATTCTGGCTTACCCATCGATGGTACCTCTGGAACATATGATGCCTTCTTGTAGTTATCTTCTGAAACTGATGGTTTTTTGAAGTAGTCAAATTTTGGATAAACTGACTCCTTATATTTTGGTTTAGCCATTGAGGGTACCTTTGGAACATATGACTCCTTTTTGTAGTTATCTTCTGATAATGATGGCTTCTTGTAGTAGCCATTCTTTGGCAAGAATGATTCATGTTCAGGAACAAATGATACTTTCTTATAGTTATCTCCTGAAACTGATGGCTTCTTGTAGTTATTATTTTTTGGCAAAAATGACGACTTATATTCCTTTTCCGACTCTGAGGGTACCTTGAAGTCTGCACTTTTGAATACTGTGTTTGGTACTTTATTGTGTGTTGAATCTGATAGTTCATAAGAATTATTAGGTGAATATGCCATAGTGCATGTAGCAATCAAGAAAAATGCCAAAACACAAGCAAATTGAAGCCATTGCTTCTTCACTTGGATTCCCATTGAGAAGAATTGGATTTGATGATTTCTTTTTTCTTGTGTGTATCAGAATGGAGGAATTAGGAGTTTATATATAATATGATGGTGATTTGATGATTTGGATTATCCCAATATTAAATAATCCAAACATGTCAAAAGATTTTGCAGTTTATGCTGTTCCACTAAAGCTTTGAGATAATGGAAGCCATGAGCAATTCATACACATTTGCTTGGCTCACCTTATTTTAAAATTTTAATCCAATTTTTTATCGACTTAGAAGAATGTTGGTTTTTTTCTGTTGGTATAGTGAAAATTTAATTAAATTAGTTTTTATAAGTTTAGATATGTGTTCATTATTTGGGGTACATGGCACCACACTTACTTTTTTTTTTTCATAGGTTTTACTCTGTAAACAGTGGCGAATTTACGATTTTAAAATCATTTATGTTTACTTTTTAATATAAATGTATAATTATTTTACTGAACCTTAAAATAAAAGGCTTATTATTAGAAATAAGACTTCTAGTCATAAGTTACCGAGAACTATGATTTAATATTAATTTTTTTTTTAGAAAAAAGCTTCTAGTAGTACGATTCTCAACGAACTTTCATATTTTGAAGATATTGAACAATTGTACCATATCATTGCATTGCATATTGACGACTACAAATATTTACACTCTGGAATTTTTAAAAACTTAAGTTTTTTTTGTTGTTGTAATAAATGAGTTATAGAAAATAAAAAAGTGAAAAATAAACTAAAAAAGAAGAAGTTCATATTAAAATGTTAGCGGAAAAATTGGTGAAAATTTTAAAAAAAGGAAAAAAGAAGAGAAAATGTTTAGTAAATCACACATGAGATGTAAGTTGCTTTGACCAAGCTCGTTGAAAAAAATCAACTAAAAAAAGCGTACGTTGGCAAAAGAAATTAATTTCTGGCCTCTCTTTTCCTTGCAAGTACTCTGAATACTTCTCATTACCAAGAATGACAATATTTTGAATTTGATTAGTTCTTAATACAACTCAAATTAATTCAAATTTGTGTCTATGTATGATTTATTTTTAAGAGAGAAAAAGAGTGCTCTATGAGATATTACTTCAATATTCCATAGGATCGAACCCTTTGACAAAGATAATTGAGTCAATCAATTTTTTTTGTTAAAAAAAAACTAACTCTCCATTTATTCTAGAAGTTCTGGCTTTAAGAAATTTCATACTTTGAGCATAGAACTTCTATAGATCAAATGATTTATATTGAAAAATTTGTGACATTTTATCTTAACTAGTGTATATTTATCGTCGAGTTTTTCTTTTATCTAATTGAAATGGTTCGCTTTATTTCTTTTATCTCCCAAGCGTTCTATGTTTATAACAATAGAGATCGTTATTTTCTTCTTTTCCAATTCTAATATATTAAACGAATTGTATCGATTCTTTTGAGCACCATATCAGGAAATTTACCCAATATAATCCTTAGCGACCTATTTTTGAAATATTATCATAATTGTTGTTATGTTCCAAAGTCTTGATATTAATAGTAAGTTAATTGATGGAAGAATAGATGAAAACTACATAAACTCTCAATAAAAGGAACTTGTATTTTCCATTGAAATAAATTTCTCGAGACATTCAAAAATATAGAATTTAAATGGCAAAACAATTACAAACCAAAGAACAAAAAGGAAAAATAATGGAAACATGCATTTTGAGCATGAAAGATGGAAATTCAATAAGATGGAGGTGGTGGTGATGGAGAAGGTGATGACATCTTGTGGTAGTCAGGTTTTGATAAAGAAGGCACCTTGTATTCTTCTTTAGGCACTGAGGGTACCTTTGGAACATATGACACCTTTTTGTAGTTATCTTCTGAAACTATTGGCTTCTTGTAGTAGTCATTTTTTGGCAAAGAAGGCACCTTATACTCTTCTTTAGGCACTGAGGGAACCTTTGGCACATATGAAACCTTTTTGTAGCTGTCTTTTGGAAGTGATGGCTTCTTGTAGTAATCATTCTTTGGCAAAGAAGGTACCTTGTATTCTTCTTTCGGCAATGAGGGCACCTTCCCTTTTTTGTAGTTATCTTCTGAAACTGATGGCTTCTTGTAGTAGTCACTTTTTGGCAAAGAAGGCACCTTGTATTCTTCTTTAGTCATTGAGGGCAACTTTGGAACAAATGGTACCTTTTTGTAGTTATGTTCTGGAACTGATGGCTTCTTGTAGTAATCATTCTTTGGCAAAGAAGGTATCTTGTATTCCTCTTTAGGCACTGAGGGCACCTTTGGTACATATGAAACCATTTTGTAGTTATCTTCTGGAACTGATGACTTCTTATAGTCATCGTCATTCTTTGGCAAAGATGGCACCTTGTATTCCGATTTAGGCTGTGTGGGTACCTTTGGAACATATGACACCTTCTTGTAGTTATCTTCTAGAACTAATGGCTTCTTGAAGTAGTCAAATTTTGGAAAAAATGACTCCTTATATTCTGGTTTAGCCATCGAGGGTACCTCTGGAACATATGAAGCCTTCTTGTTGTTATCTTCTGATACTGATGGTTTCTTGAAGTAGTCAAATTTTGGAAAAAATGACACCTTATATTCTGGTTTAGCCATCGAAGGTACCTCTGGAACATATGAAGCCTTCTTGTAGTTCTCTTCTGAAACTGATGGTTTCTTGAAGTAGTCAAATTTTGGCAAAAATGACTCCTTATATTCTGGTTTAGCCATCGAAGATACCTCTGGAACATATGACTTTTTCTTGTAGTTATCTTCTGAAAATGATTGCTTCTTGTAGTCGTCATTCTTTGGCAAGAATGATTCATGCTCGGGAGCAATCACTACTTTCTTATAGTTATCTTCTGAAATTGATGACTTCTTGTAGTAATTATTTTTTGGCAAAAATGACGACTTATATTCCTTTTCCGACTCTGAGGGTACTTTATTGTATGTTGAATCTGATGATTCATATGAATTATAAGGTGAATGTGCCACAGTGCATGTGGCAATCAAGAAAAATGCCAAAACACAAGCAAATTGAAGCCATTGCTTCTTCATTTGGATTCCCATTCAGAAGAATTGGATTCTAAGGCTAGATATTTGTTTCTTCTTCTTTTTCTTGTGTTTATTAGAATGGAGCAATTAGGGCTTAATATAACATAACTAAGATGGTGATTTGTTTAAAAATAAAATAATCCAAACATATCAAAGATTGAGCCATTTTTTTTTGTTAATGCTGTTCCACTAATGTTTTGAGATAATGGGAAGCATGAACAATTTTAATTCAATTTTTTTAATTCACTTCCAAGAATGTTGTTCTCTTTTTTTCTTTTTAGTATATTGAAAATTTGATTAAATTATTTTTTTAAAAAAAAAAAGGTTGAGATGTGTGTAGGCCTAGCAAATATTGTTTATTATTTGGTGCCCATTGGTTATATATACTTGTTGAGCACTACTTATATTCCATATCAATATTGCACCATAGTTAAATTTTTTTCTTTTTTTCTTTTTGAAATTTTTGGACACATGATAAATCCGCTTATTGCAATATCTTGCAAATTATATATGAAATGTAAATTTCTTTAAGCAAGCCCGTTTTGAGAAACTAATTGAAAAATGTTGTTAGATGTACCATACATACTTTCTATTACCAAGAATTACAATATTTTGAGTTTGATTAGTTCTTAATTTAAACATGATAAATTAGAAGTTATTATTTTAATGTCATATATTTAATGTTTTTGGTTATTAACTCAGATTAATTCAAATTAACATCGTAACTATTTTTAAGAAAGAAGTGTTTTATGATATATTGCTCGTATTCCTAGGATTGAAAACCCTACCAAAAGATGACTGAGTTAATCAAATTATTTTTTAAAAATTTATCAAAATATATTAGAAGATCTGACTTTTAAAAAAAACTCAAATATTGAAGGGCTTATGAAAAATCCATGACATTTTATCTTAGGTAGTTTAACTTTTATTTCCAAGTTTCTCTTCATCTGGTTAAAATGATTCACTACATAATTCGTTTTATTTCTTTATCTCCCAAAAATCATATGTTTATAACAATAGAAATCATTTTTCTTTCTTTCAAATTTTAATAGATTTGACGAATTGTATAGATTCTTTTGAAATTTGAGTTATATATTTAGTAGCCTATTTTTGAAATATTATCATGATTGTTGTTATGTTCCTGAGTTTTGTTATTAATAGCAAGTCAATTGATGGAATAATAGATGAAAACTACATAAACTCTCAATAAAGGAACTTGTGTTAAAGAATGACAAAAGTCCCACATCGGTGATTAATGAGATGGGTGGACTCTTTATAAGGCTTGGGCAATCCTCCTCCCTTTGAGCTAGCTTTTGGGATGTGAGTTAGGCCTAAGACCTAATTTCACATGGTATCAGAGCAGGACCCGTTTCACCCGATGTTGGGGTCCCCAAAATTAAAATTACGCACGCACCAGATTCTAAACACTGGGCCGATGTTGGGGTTCCCAAAATTAAAATTACCCATGCACCAGATGCTAAACACTGGGCGTGAGGTGGGGTGTTAAAGAATGACAAAAGTCCCACATCGGTGATTAATGAGATGAGTGGACTCTTTATAAGGCTTGGGCAATCCTCCTCCCTTTGAGCTAGCTTTTGGTATTCCATTGAAATAAATTTCCGGAAACATTCAAAATGTAGAATTTAAATAACAGAACAAGTACAAACCAAAGAACAAAATGGAAAAATAAATAAATGAATAAATACATACAAATTCTGATATCTTGCCTTCTAACTCATAATATGAGAACCCTATGGTTTATATATGTTGAGCTGGAGAAGGTATTAAATGAAACATGCATTTTGAGCATGAAAGATTGGAAATTCAATAATATGGAGGTGGTGGTGATGGAGAAGTTGATGGCTTCTTGTAGTAGTCATTTTTTGATAAAGAAGGCACCTTGTATTCTTCTTTAGGCACTGAAGGTACCTTTGGAACATATGACGTCTTCTTGTAGTTATCTTCTGAAACTATTGGCTTCTTGTAATAGTCATTTTTTGACAAAGAAGGCACCTTATACTCTTCTTTAGGCACTGAGGGCACTTTTGGAACAAATGGTACCTTTTTGTAGTTATCTTCTGTAACTGATGACTTCTTGTAGTAATCATTCTTTGGCAAAGAAGGTATCTTGTATTCCTCTTTAGGCACTGAGGGCACCTTTGGTACATATGACACTTTTTTGTAGTTATCTTCTGGAACCAATGACTTCTTATAGTAGTCGGCATTCTTTGGCAAAGATGGTACCTTTGGAACATTTGACACTTTCTCGTAGTTATCTTCTTGAACTAATGGCTTCTTGAAGTAGTCAAATTTTGGAAAAAATGACTCCTTGTATTCCGATTTAGGCTCTGTGGGTACCTTTGGAACATATGACGTCTTCTTGTAGTTATCTTCTGAAACTAATGGCTTCTTGAAGTAGTCAAATTTTGAAAAAAATGACTCCTTATATTCTGGTTTAGCCATCGAGGATACCTCTGGAACATATGACGTCTTTTTGTAGTTGTCTTCTGAAAACGATGGCTGCTTGAAGTAGTCAAATTTCGGCAAAAATGACTCCTTATATTCTGGTTTATCCTTCGAGGGTACCTCTGGAACATATGACTCCTTCTTGTAGTTATCTTCCGAAAATAATGGCTTCTTGTAGTAGTCATTCTTTGGCAAGAATGATTCATGTTCGGGAACAAGTGATACTTTCTTATAGTTATCCTCTATAATTGATGGCTTCTTGTAGTAATCATTTTTTGACAAGAATGACGACTTATATTCCTTTTCCGACTCTGAGGGTACCTTGAAGTCTTCACTTTTGACTACTGTGGTTGGTACTTTATTATATGTTGAATCTGATGATTCATAAGAATTGTAAGGTGTATATGCCATAGTGCATGTGGCAATCAAGAAAAATGTCAAAACACAAGCAAATTGAAGCCATTGCTTCTTCATTTGGCTTCCCATTGAGAAGAATTGGATTGTAAGCCTAGATATATCTTTGATTTTCTTTTATTTTGCGTTTTAGAATGTAGGAATTAGGAGTTTATATAACATAATTAAGATGGTTTATTTGAAGATTTGGATTCTCTCAAAATTAATTAACATATCAAAGATTTGCCATTTTTTGGTTATGCTGTTCCACTAAGGTTTTGAGATAATGGGAAGTCATGAGCAATTCATACACATTTGCTTGACTCACCTATTTTTTAAATTTTAATCCAATTTTTTATTGACTTCGAAGAAAGTTGTTCTTGTTTGTTTTTTTTTTTGGTTGGTATTTTAAATTAGTTTTTAAAAGTTAAAGATGTATATAGGCCTAACAAATATTTCTCATTAATTATTTGGTGTCCACTAACTAATTATATGTACTTATTGCGCACGACTTACTTATAATTCACATCATGTCACTATACTTACTTTTTTAAATCAAAGTAATTTGCAGTTGTTATTCCTTGGATGCACATTGAGTAAATCACTTACGTGCAATATCTTACAAATCATACATGAGATGTAAGTTGCTTTGAGCAAGCCCATTATAACAAATCTACTAAAAAAGTGTACGTTGGTGCAAGAAATTGATCTCTGGCCTCTCTTATCCTTGCGAGTTAATTCCCTGAATACTTCTCGTTACCAAGAATGACAATATTTTGGGTTTGATTAGTTCTTAATACAAACAGGAAAAATTAGAAGTTATTGTTTTTATTGTCATATATTTAGTGTTTTTGGTTATTAACTCAAATTAATTCAAATTTGCGTCGTGATATTAACTCAAATTAATTCAAATTTGCGTCGTGATCTATTTTTAAGATTAAAAAAAGGGTTCTACGAGATATTACTTCAATATTCCCTAGGATCGAACCCTACCACAAAGATAATTGAGTCGATCATTTTTCTTAAAAAAAAAAAAAAAAACCCAAAAAATATTAGAAGTTCTGGCTTTAAAAAGTTTCATACTTTGAGCATACAACTTCTGCAATATAGATCAAATGCACCTACACAATGACTTTGGAAAATGCATAAGTACCCCTCAATTTATGCCTGAAATGTCATAGACACACTTATACTTTATTAAGGTCCTATTACCCCTGGATTTATTTTATAAATAATTTTCTACTCCTTTTCGATCGGCCTGCGTGGCACTAACTTGAAAAAAATGTCAAAAAGTACTATATTATAAGTGTGTCTCTGATATTTCGAACATAGATTGAGGAGGTACTTGTGCATTTTTCCATAACTAAATGATTAATATTGAAGGGCTAATGAAAATTTTGTGATATATATTGAAGGGCTAATGAAAATTTTGTGATATTTTATCTTAATGTAGTGTAATATTTATCGTCGACTTTTCTTTATCGGATTGAAATGGTTCGCTTTATTTCTATATCTCCCAAGAGTTATATGTTTATAACGATAGAGATCGTTGTTTTCTTTCTTTCCAATTTTAATAGATTAAACGAATTGTATCATTCTTTTGAGTACAATATAAGGAAATTCACCCAATATAATCCTTAGTGACCTATTTTTGAAATATTATATGATTGTTGTTATGTTCCAAGAGTTTTGTTATTAATAGTAAGTGAACAAATTGACAATTGATGGAAGAATAGATGAAAACTACGTAAACTCTAAATTAAAAAAAAAAACTTGTATTCAATTGAAATAAATTTCTCATACAAAATATAGAAATTAAATGACAAAACAATTACAAACCAAGGTAGGAAAAGGAAAAATAAATAAATAAATACAAATTTTAATATCATGCCTTCTAACTCATAATATGAGAAATCCATGAGTTATATATGTTGACCATGAGAAGGACTTTAATTAAACATCCATGTTGAACATGAAAATAAATTTAATAATATGGAGGTGGTGGTGGTGATGGAGAAGGCGATGACTTCTTGTAGTAGTCAGATGACTTCTTGTAGTAGTCATTCTTTGACAAAAAAGGCGCCTTGTATTCTTCTTTAGGCACGGAGGGCACCTTTGGAACATATGAAACTTTTTTGTAGTTATCTTCAGAAACTAATGGCTTCTTGTAGTAGTCTTTTTTTGACAAAGAAGGCACCTTGTATTCTTCTTTAGGCACTGAGGGCACCTTTGGAACAAGTGGTACCTTTTTGTAGTTTTCTTCCGAAACTGATAGCTTCTTGTAGTAATCATTCTTTGGCAAAGTAGGTGCCTTGTATTCTTCTTTAGGCACTGAGGGCACCTTTGGAACATATGACACCTTTTTATAGTTATCTTCTGAAATTATTGGCTTCTTATAGTAGTCATTCTTTGGCAAAGATGGTACCTTGTATTTCGGTTTAGGCTCTGTGGATACCTCTGGAACATATGGTGCCTTCTTGTGTGTATCTTCTAGAGCTAATGGCTTCTTGAAGTAGTCAAATTTTGGAAAAAATGACTCCTTATATTCTGGTTTAGCCATCGAGGGTACCTCTGGAACATATGACGTCTTCTTGTAGTTATCTTCTGGAGCTAATGGCTTCTTGAAGTAGTCAAATTTTGGAAAAAATGACTCCTTATATTCTGGTTTAGCCATCGAGGGTACCTCTGGAATATATGACGTTTTCTTGTAGTTATCTTCTGAAACCGATGGCTTCTTAAAGTAGTCAAGTTTTGGCAAAAATGACTCCTTATATTCTGGTTTATCCTTCGAGGGTACCTCTGGAACATATGACTCCTTCTTGTATTTATCTTCCGAAAATAATGGCTTCTTGTGGTAGTCATTCTTTGGCAAGAATGATTCATGTTCGGGAACAAGTGATACTTTCTTATAGTTATCCTCTAAAATTGATGGCTTCTTGTAGTAATCATTTTTTGGTAAAAATGACAACTTATATTCCTTTTCCGACTCTGAGGGTACCTTGAAGTCTTCACTTTTGACTACTGTGGTTGGTACTTTATTGTATATTGAATCTGATGATTCATAAGAATTGTAAGGTGAATATGCCATAGTGCATGTGCCAATCAAGAAAAATGTCAAAACACAAGCAAATTGAAGCCATTGCATCTTCATTTGGCTTCCCATAGAGAAGAATTGGATTGTAAGCCTAGATATTTCTTTGTTTTTCTTTTTCTTTTGCGTTTTAGAATGGAGGATTTAGGAGTTTATATAACATAACTAACATGGTGATTTGATGAAATAGAAATTAAATAATCCCAACATATCAAAGGTTTTGCCATTTTTTGGTTAATGCTGTTCCACTAATGTTTTTAGTATATCGAAAATTTGATTAAATTAGTTTTTAAAAAAAAAGAAAAGAAAAGGTTGAGATATGTGTAGGCCTAGCAAATATTGTTTATTATTTGGCGCCAATTAGTCATATGTACTTGTTGAGCACAACTTATATTCCACTTCAATATTGCACCATACTTCAATTTTTTATATTTTTATTTTTTTGGAAATTTTTAGATTAATTTGTAGTCGCTACTTTTTGGACTTACATATAATAAATCTGTTCGTTGCAATTTTTGGCAAATCATACTTGAGACGTAAGTTGCTTTAAGCAAGCCCGTTTTGAGAAACTAACTGAAAAATTATTGTTAGTTGTACCATACATACTTTTAATTAGAAAGAATTATAATATTTTGGGTTTGATTAGTTTTTGATGTAAACATGATAAATTAGAAGTTATTGTTTTAGTGTAATATATTTAATGATTTTGGTTATTAACACATATTAATTCAAATTAACATCGAATCTATTTTTAGGAAAGAAGTGCACTATGATATATTAATCAAATTCCTAGGATTGAACGTCCGATAGCTGAGTTAATCGAATTATTTTTTAAAAATTTATCAAAATATTTTAGAAGATTTGACTTTTAAAAAAAGCTCAAAACTTCTGCATACAGATCAAATGCACCTAAACAATAAAATTGAAGGGCTTATGAAAAATCCATGACATTTTATCTTAAGTAGTGTAACATTTATTTCCAAGTTTCTCTTTATCTGATTAAAATGATTCACTACATAATTCGTTTTATTTCTTTTATCTCCCAAAAATTATATGTTTATAACAATAGAAACCGTTTTTCCTTCTTTCAAATTTTAATAGATTTGACGAAATGTATAGATTCTTTTGAGTCACATATTAGTGGCCTATTTTTGAAATATCATCATGATTGTTCCAGAGTTTTGTTATTAATTGTAAGTTAAACAAATGGGCAATTGACGGAAGAATAGATGAAAACTACATAAACTCTCAATAAAAGGAACTTGCATTCCATTGAAATAAATTTCTCGAAACATTCAAAATATAGAATTTAAATGACAAAACAATTACAAACCAAAGAACAAAAAGGAAAAATAATGGAACATGCATTTTGAGCATGGAAGATGGAAATTTAATAATATGGAGGTGGTGGTGATGGAGAAGGTGATGGCTTCTTCTTGACGTCATTTTTTGATAAAGAAGACACCTTGTATTCTTCTTTAGGCACTGAGGGTACCTTTGGAACATATGACACCTCTTTGTAGTTATCTTTTGAAACTATTGGCTTCTTGTAGTAGTCATTTTTTGGCAAAGAAGGCACCTTATACTCTTCTTTAGGCACTGAGGGCACCTTTGAAACAAATGGTACCTTTTTGTAGTTATCTTCTGGAACTGATGACATCTTGTAGTATTCATTCTTTGACAAAG